CAAGTGATTCTCCTGCCTCAGCCTCTCGAGTAGCTGGGACTACAGGCATGTACCACCATGCCCAACTAATTTTTGTATTTTTAGTAGAGACAGGTTTTCACCATGTTGGCCAGGATGGTCTCCATCTCTTGACCTCATGATTCACCTGCCTTGGCCTCCGAAAGTGCTGGGATTACAGGCATGAGCCACTGCGCCCAGCCAGTATTTCATTTTTTGCAGCACCGATTGAAATGATATTGTGTTTAAAATTTCTAGTTCCACATGTTCAATACTGATATATAGAAAAATAATTGACTTTTGTATGTTAACTTTGTATCTTCAACCTTGCTATAATTGGTTATTAATTCCAGGAATTTTTTTGTTGTTATTGATCTTAGAGGATTTTCTACAAAGATGATTATGTCATCTGTAAACAAAACAGTTTTATTTCTTTTTTCCCTTAAATATCAAGAGAATAATTTAATATCTTTGCTGGTTCTAAGGCCATAAAATGTTTTTTTTTTCAATAAAAAATTTGATTTTTCTCTTCTGATCTTATTACATCAGCTAGGGCTCCTGGTATGATATTGAAAAGGAGTACTGAGAGCAGACATTCTTGTCTTCTTTCATATCCTGAGAAAACTTTGATTTTCTTGACATTAAATATGATAGTTGTAGATCTTTTCTAGTTGTTTATCAGGTTGAGAAAGTTCTACTTTATTCCTGGTTTGTATCATGAATCAGCACTGGATTTGGTCAACTGCTTATTCTGTATCTATTAAGGTATTGTATGGTTTTTCTTCTTTAACCTCTTGATGTGATATTTTATGCAAATTGATTTTCAAAAGTCAAACCAGCCTTGCAAATCTGACATAAATCCCATTTTGTCATAGTGTACCTTTTTTAAATACAATGTTGGATTGATTTTGCTAACATTTTGTTGGGGGTTTTTGCATATATGTTCATGAGATATATTAGTGTGTAATTTAGTGTAATGTCTTCATCTGGTTTTGATGATCTGGTAGTTGGCCTCATAGAAGTATTAACATTTCTCCTCTTCTGTCAACTGAAAGTGATTGTAGAGGATTAGTACAATTCATTCCTTAAATGTATGCTGGAATTAGTGAAGTCATCCAGGTCTGGTGCAATTGATTCAATTGATTTCATTGTTATCTGCCTATTCAGATTGTCTACTTGTCCATTTGCTAGATTTAGTGGATTTTGTCTTGTAAGGAATTGGTTCACTTTACCTAAATTATCAAGTTTGAGGCATAGACTTGTTTACAACATTGACATATTATCATTTTAATTCATATGAGGTCTTTAGTGATGCCCTTCTTTCATTTCTGATATTAGAAGTTTTGTCCTTTTTTTTTTTTGTTAGCCTGGTGAGACACTGTATTTGTATATTTTTAAACTCACATTAAATAACTAATATTTTTCTTGCACATTTTGAGGGAATAATATAGTTTTTATTCCTTAATATAAAAATATGAATTATAAAGATAAACCAATTTTGGATTTTTGGACTAAATCTGTCTTAGTAATGATATGTTTAGTACCCTTTTTATTCATTGCTAAATTCGGTTGCCTAGTATTTCACCTTGAGGTTTAGCATCAATATTCTTAAACTTGATATATATTTTTAAAATATTTTAATTATATAAGGTTTCTAGCATGCTAACCTTGTAAAATGAGTTTAGAAATATTTCCTCTTTTTCTGTTCTTTTTCACTTATATTTACCTTGCATATATCGTAGATCCTAACTGTTGAAACTTCTGTAACGAATGTTTTTTTTAGAAAGTTTTTAAAGATCAAGATAATTTAGTATCCTTGCTGGTTCTAGGGTTACAAATAGTTTTCTAATTATTGAATTTTAACAATTCATATTTTTTTCTAGGATTTGTCAATTAAAAACAATTCAGATTTATTAGTGATGTCAGTTGTAACGTTGTGAATAATCTCTTTTAGTCCCTGTAATTGTTATCTTTAAGTACCAAAAGGACTGGGTTAAGGGATACCAAGGTAACTGGCAGCACGTTATTTCTGGATATGTCTGTGAGGGTGTTTCCAGAAGAGATCATCTGAATCAATGGACTGAGTAAGGAAATCTGCCCTCCCCCAGTGTAAGTGGGCACCATCCAATCCATTGAGGAGAGAAAGGCAAAGGAAAGTGAATTCTTTCTCTCTCCTGGAGCTAAGACATTCATATTTTCCTGCCTTTGGACATGAGAACTCCGGGCTCTTGAGTTTTCACGCTTTGCGACATATAGCAGCTGATCCCTTGGTTCCCAGGCCTTTAGACTCACGCTGAATTACACCACCAAGTCCTGTGGTTCTTCAGCTTGCAGATGGTGAGTCATGGGACTTCTCACCCTCAATAATCATTTGAGCTAATTCCCATAATCTGTCGTCTCTTATACAACTATACATTTATATCTATACGTGTTTATATGTCCTATTTGTTCTGCTTCTGTAGAGAATCCTAATACCATTTTGTTTTTCATTTCTAATGTTTGTGATTTCTCACCTTTTCTTTCTTTATAAATATTACAATAAATTTATTTTTATTAGTTATTTGACAATTTTCTTTAAATTTTGTTGTTACTTTTAGATTATGCTTTTAACTTCATTACTTTATGATTTGATTGGTTTTTGATTTATCCTACTGTCCATTTTCTAACTTCTTAAAACTTTATTCTTTGTACATTTATATTCTGCTTTTCTTCCTTTAAAAATGCATTAAGATACTAATTTTCTTCTATGTCCCATTCTACTTGTATCTAGCACATTTCATATGTAATATTATTGTATTGTTCATGTCTTTTCAGTATTATATTTTTTGTTAAAGACTTTTATATTTTTCTGTATTTTACAAATACTATTCCTGTTAATTTGCCGACACTATATGATATGTTTAAAATGTCCCAGTGTAACGGTGTACTTGTCAGTTTCTCCTAGGAGTCTTTTCAAGTTTTGCTTTAAAAAATTCAAAGCTCTATTATGGAGTAAACTTCTGGTGCATTGAACCTTTTATTGATAAGCCATGATCTATTTCTAGCAATATGCTATTTTGCTTCAGGTCTAGATTGTCTTATAGACCTGTTATCTTTGATCTTCTCTTATCCCACATTTAAATAAAAATTATGAGTGTTTCTATTTTGTTCTTATTCTGCACATGTAGCTTAAATTTGAGCCCTGATTGGTTGATCAGAGGCTAGGGTTTAGGATTCTTATGGAAGATTTTTCTTCTTTACCTCTCATCTTCTCTAGCAAAGGCAACAATTTTGTCTACATTTGTAAAGTGGGTTTGTTTTCCTACCAGAGAAAATACATTTCAGAAGATGCAGCATTCCTTCAGTGGTTCTGGGTTTTTGCAAGTGAGAAGCCATTCTCTTCAATCTCCTACTTTTCTTGGACTCTAGTCTTTGTTACCTGTGCTTTATGTCCCTTCTCAAACAATCTTTTTGTAATTAGGGATAACCATAAGTTCTGCCATCAACACTGGCTCCTGATGATCAATTATCTATAGATTTGTTCTTTATTGTCGCTTCCAATCAGCTAAATAATATGAGCATGTTTTTAATGGTTTTACTCAGTAATTTTAGCTGAGCTCTTCTTACAGTGGTTTCTGTGGACATTGCTTTCACACTTACACCTATCACTTAGACTTCTCTTTCTTGCAACCAAGAACCTTAAGCAACCTGTCTCATGGTGTTGTGGAGAGGATCTGATGACACAGTTCTATCACTAATATACTACCACTTAGCCAGTAAATTTTAATTATTGTTTTATTGTCATTATTATGATGTAATCATAAGACAAATGATAACAATCTCAGGAATACTTGAAAATTTCCAAAGGATAATCCCTAAAAGACAATACTGAATTCAAAGACGTATATTTTTTTTGGGCAAATATAAGACATGGATAAAGCAGGTGTTTTGAGGAGGAAATGAGATAGGTACTATCGCTTCATACATTATAGGTATGAAAACAGTATGAATACGTTTCTTGAAAAATGCCATCTACTCATCTGTGAGTTTTACTTTAATATGGAAAATATTCTAGTATAGATCATTGCAATATTTCCTTTATATGTTTCAAACTGTAGAACAAGATCAGAATAAGAGAGCAAGATTACTAATTTTACTTTTGGAGTATTAGTAAGTGTCAAACTACTAACAAAAATTCATTAGTGAGATTGTATTCCTTCAGGGCGGAAGTTGGTAAATATTCAAGGGTATGTTTAATTTTGAATTATTCTAAATTTTTCTTTAAACCAGGAAGTTTTTCTGAAAACACATTATGCATATGCACAGAGAGTGATTAGTAAAGTCATATTTGAATTTCATGTGCTTCTGGTTTGAATTAGACTTTTAATCCTCAGTATTTTAATATAATTTGCAATTTCTTTTTTATTTTCAAAATTAAAGTTTCCCAGTAAGTTAGGTTTTAAAATGTTATATGCCTTCTGTTTTCTTCTAGAAATTTCAGTATTTGCCAGTAGGTTTTATGCCATTATATATGTGATAGTTCAGGTAAACTGCAGTAATTTTAATGTACATTAAATGCTCTTCTAATGTGTTGGCAGAGCCTTACTCAAACTGTTCTTTATTGTCTATTTACATGAAACCAAACACCTGTGAAAGGATTTTACCATTTTTTTCTTGAAAGAAGTTAGCAATAAGCCTTGGTCAGCTATTGTTCACAAGCAAGTCACAAAAAATCTTGCTGTCACTTTCTTAAGAAAAATAAATTTTACTTTGGCCTAATGAATTTGCAAAGTTACTTTGAGGAAACATTTTCAAAATACTGTAATTTCTTCCTAGTTAATATTGCTATTGAGGGTGATCAGGCTGTTGAATCCATCATCAGTGAGAAAATGAAATTACAACTTGGCTTCATCTCTGCCAATCATTTCCATCTAGAGACGTCTGTAAAAGGAGCATGACTTCCCGGCGCTGTTTTTTGAAATCATTTCCTCATTGTAAATAACGTTGTGCTTTCTTCTTCCTAGAATTGGACTATCAAAACGACTTAAAATGTCAAAGAATTACTCATAAGAGACATGGTAGGGAGAAGATGTTCATGTCCTAATCCTCAGAACCTATGAAAAAGTTACATGGAAAGTGAAGAATTAAAGTTACAGGTAAAATTAAGATCGCTAATCAGGTGATGTCAAAATAGAGCAATTATCTAGGATTATTTGTATCCTAGATAATTTGTATCCAAATGTAATCACAAAGTACTTTACAGGGGAAAATAGAAGAGAACTGCCGACAGTATCGTGAGAGGAATGGGTTTGAAGATAAAGTAAGGCAGTAAAGGAATGAGGTTAGCCCTTAGTAGATGGAAAAGGCAAGCACACAGATTTTCCCTGAGCTTCTAGAAAGGAATGCATCCTGCCAACAACTTGATTCTAGCCTAGTGAAAGCCATTTCAGATGTTTGACTACCAGAACTGTAAGATCTACATTTGTGTTTTTATAGACCAGAAAAGAGTGGGATAATTTGTTACAGCAGTAATAGAAAACTCATACAAGGGGTAAAACCAGTGTAATCATATATTAACTTTCATGTCCTGTTTTTAGTAGAGAATGAAAAAATGCAAGATATTATTTTAACTGGCCTCTAGACTTTTAAAACTAAAGTTTCCATCTTCTTGTTTATCTACCCTAGTCTGGAGACTCATACAGGTGTTGTCTCATATAGCTCAGCATAGAATGAGTTGGTATCATGAAGTGGTTCAGGTGAGTATATTAGGAAGGGAAGCAACAGAGGTGTAGTTTACTGTAAGCCAAGCAATATTTCAGACTATTGTAGATGGCCATGTTCTTGTTGGGTCAGACTGAAAGGACAATTATCAGTGTTATAGTTTCTTTTTTGGAGAGGGACAAGAAAGCTCACCCATCACTTATTTAATTCTTTGAAAACACTATATGGGAAGTGTCACCTAGGACCCAATCATTAGACTTTAGAAAACTTTTTATTTGAAGAAAAACATAGATATGAAATCTCTACGAAGAAGTACAGAATAATTGATGTGCAGCTAACCACAGAAAAGGTAAATAGTAAAATCCTTGCACTGGAACTCAATGGATAATCCTTAAACTAAGTTCCTTCAGATATTGAGCAAAGGTAACCTTTGAAAAATATGCAACACCATAAAGCAAAGGTTATAGAAATAATGTGCTAATATTTCCTGGGTTCAAAATTATTCTTTTTTCTGTCAATCCAACAAGAAAAACATAGTAGGCATTTTTTTTCCTAGTGTTTTTGTAGTAGGCTTTGTTGACAATAAATACATAGCTTGAGTATGCTAGAGAGAGAGTCACTCCCCCCAATTCCAGTGCTTCCATGACATATGAAAGAGAAAGTAGAGAACTATTTAGAAGCAGCAAATTCAATCTGATGAAATACGTGCAGTATAAGTCCAGGGGCAGCAGACGCTCTGCAGTAGTGTGCAATTTCTGATTTGTGAAGTGACTAATTCTACAGTTAGTAGGTGACTCACATGGGAGTTTTAGAGTAGGCTGCAATAATCAATCAGAATAATGCAGAAACCAACAATAAAAAAAAAACTAGACTATACCCTCTCTTCCATGAATGAGAACGTTCTAATAAAGTAATTAGCAGGACTTGATTAAATGTAAAACCACTCTACACTATATTATGTAACTGTAGTTTCTGTGACGGTGTGTATTGTACGTACTTGTGTCTGTCTACATCTCTCTGTGCTTAAGGTATGTTGGATGATTAGATCATCACAGACACTTAATTCTATAAAATGGTTTCATTTTCTACTGATACTTTCTTGTCTTTATAAGCTCTACAATAGGGGAATTTCCCTTTGTACTATTTATCAGAAGATCTGAACTGGGTAAAATCTTTGGCTTTTGAACCAGTAAACTGAAACCAAGCGTAAACACAATGTCTTATAAAATGGTGCCTAAACAAGACCTAATCCTCTGAGTATATGACCTTTCATGTAACTCTTACTAAGAGGATTTATAATAAAGTATTACAAAACAGCAGTATTTCACACTCATTATAAGTAGATTGTCTTTATTCTCTCAAAAAATACCATGAAGCATGGACTAGTATCATTCCTATTTTACAAAGAAACTGGGGCTGAGAGTTCTGGGAACTTATCCAAAATCAGCTAATAACAGAATGAGGATTTGAATACAGGGCTGCCTAAACCCAAAGGGTGTGGGCTTAATGAGTATGTTATGATAGAGCCACACATTCCTGAAGAAAATAAAGGGTTACACTGACCAGAAGCATTGGGGTATCTGCAGTTTTTATTCTGAGACTCTTCTATTTCTCTGAATGCTGAAATTTTCCAGCATTAGACTGATGTGACCTCAATTCAGTATCTCTATATCTCTAAGTTTGTCGACAGGGAAGTTGCAGAGGAAAGCAAAGCAAGGTGTATATTGTCATCAACTGCGCCTTGTATTCTTATCTCAGGTTTTGACTGGGCTTCAGCTTCCTCACCTTCCCTATCTAAGTCACTGCTGTTTCAAGGCTTACGCGGAGGAGTTTGCCTCAAATAGATATGCACCTTCTCAGCCTTGGTCATACAAACAAATATACTGACCTTGGGTAACAAGGAGTCTGTTTAAGAGTTGGATGCAAAGTTATATGTTTCCAATTACCAAGAAATATGGCAAAACCTCTCAAACCTGGCCAAATGCCTGGGACCCTACATAGTAATTTATTCAAGGGCATTCAAAATATGATATTCATATTGTCAAATATTTTAAAGTGATAGCAAGACTAAAGCACAATGCAAGATGGCTGAAAAGGACTGACAATTTTTTTAGTGAGCCAGCAGATGGCAAATGTAGTTCAGTAGCAGAATGCAAAATGAAGTGATCGCAAATGTTGTGTGTTCATCATACAACATACCGATAGGAAAACAGATTTTTTGTGGCCATTATATAAAAATTATGGAAACTATTAGTTTAATCCATAACTATTAAGTTCCATTTTTAATATCCACTATAATATATGCATGCATATATTTAAATAAATAAGGTATGAATATATTTGCAACAGTCTGAGAATTCTTGTGCTGGGTCATGTTCAGCAAGGGGTTGTGTGGCTCTAAACATAACAGATATAAAATTTCTGTCGGGAGGTTTTCCTATTCAGGAATATTCAAGTTGCAATACAAGAAGCTCCAGTGCTATGAAGTGGACTTCTTGGGAAAGATTGATAAGACCATATATTAGAATAGAAAGCTAATTTTTTTTTTGGTAAAAAATTCTCCCAAATAAAACTATTACGCTCTCAAATTGGTCTGTATTCCTGTCTATATAAGTTTTCTGGGGCTGCCATGACAAAGTACCGTGGGCTAGGTGGCTTAGATAACAAACATTTGTTTCCTCCTATTTCTGGAGGGTGAAAGTCCAAGGTCAAGGTGTTGGTAGGCATGGTTTCTTTTGCGACTTTCGTCCTCCTCCTCCCTGTGTCCTCACATGGTCTTCTGTTTGTTCTGGTCTGTGTCCCAATAGCCTCCTCTTTTTTTTTTTTTTTTTTTTTTTTTTTTGGAAACAGCGTCTCAGTCTGTCACCAGGCACCAGGCTGGAGTGCAGTGGGGCAATCCTGGCTCACTGCAACCTCTGCCTCCCAGGTTCAAGCAATTCTCCTGCCTCAGCCACCTGAGTTGCTGGGATTACATGTGTGCACCCATGCCCAGCTCATTTTTGTGTTTTTAGTGGAGACAGGGTTTCACCATTTTGGCCAGGCTGGTCTCAAACTCCTAACCTGAAGCGATCTATCTGTCTCAGCCTCCCAAAGTGCTGGGATTACAGGCATAAGCCACAGCGCCCAGCCATACCCTCTTCTTATAAGCACAACAGATTGGGTAAGGGCCCACTGTAAAGGCCTCATTTTAACTTGGTCACCTCTTTAAAGGCCTTATCTCCAAATGCAGTGACATTCTAAAGTACTGGGAGTTAAGACTTCAACATACACATTTCAAGGAAAGAAAATTTAGGCTGTAACACTGTCTTGTAAGTATAATGTTAGAAATAAACTTTTCTCGTTACAATTCAGTGTTCTTTTACTATGGAATACACATTAATTGAAGTATCTTGTATAATAGATATGGCTGTGTTGAAGTTTGTAGTTTAATTGCCCAGAGTATGGAGTCTAACTAGATCATAAAATACTATTCCCATTTCACATAATCACAGATTAGTCTCTAGGCACTTCATTCACTTTTCTACCCACAGGTAAAACTTATTGCTTCATTCAGGCTCAAATCTACTTTCCAGATGAATTAATTTTTTGTTCAACAAATATTTATTGGAATGTTCATACAGTCTAGAGTTTATCATTGCATCACTGGGTGCCTCAACATTGATTATGGTTGGATTGGACTACAAGCTAGTAATGGTGTCAGTAAAAATAATAAAATAATGAAAAACCTACTCAGCAGTTTGCTATGTGTTTGGTACTGTAATAAAATTAACTACATTATTTAATTTCACAATACTCCTATGAGGAGAGATAGTTTTAATCCACATTGATGAAAATGGGACACAGAGAGGTTGTATCAGGGTGCTCATTTTCTGTTGCTGTGTAAAAAATTACCACAAATGTAGTAGCTTAAAACTACATCCTTTTAGCAACTAAGAGTTCTGCAGGTCAAAAGTCTATCATGGTGTGGCTAGATTTTCCGCTGAAGATATTACAAGGCTGAAATCAAGGTATTGGCTCAGCAGAGTCTTCATCACAATGCTCTGGGAAAACACTGCTTCTAAGCTCATTCAGGTGTTGGCAGAATTCAATCCCTTGTGGTTGTAAGATGGAGATCCCTGTTTGCTTGCTCAGTGTCACCTGTGGGAACCTCTCAGCTTCTAAAGGCCACCTATATTCCTTTTCATCTGGTTCCCTCCATCTCCCAGCCAGCGATAGTCCATTATATCCTTCTTATGCTGCAAATTTGACTTCTCCCATCTTTTTGACCTCAAGATGCAGATTTGAAGGACTCTTATGATTAGTCTAGTGATACTCAGATAATTTCCCTTTCTTAAAGTTAACTGTGCCACGTACGATAACCTAATTGTAGAAGTAAAATTCATCATACTCACAGACTTGGGTTTTATAGGTCATGTATACTAGGGAGGGATATATATTGAGTGTCATCTTAAAATTCTACCTAGTACAGTCAGTTAACTCTGGCTCCAGTGATGTCGTGTAACAGCACCACAAACCCTCAGCAGCATGTAAACCTCTGCATTTATTTGCTTAACACATCTGTGGGTTGGTTGGTGGGGACAGGAGGTCAGTCAGTCTGATCTAGGCTCATTTTGGGTTCCTTCCCTGTGGCAGCTTTCTTACATGAGTTTCTTGTCTCTGTCCTAGGCTGATGGGCTACTTAGGCCTGATGGTGCTCAAGCAAAGATGCAGAGGCAAGCAGAAAGTTGCAGGGCTCTTATGGCATCGTCTCAGAATCAATGCTTCTGGTACTGGTCACTTGCTTTTCATTTTATTGGCATAGGCAAGAAAAAAGATGAACAAAGTAAAAAGAAAGATGAATAAAGTCAAAGAAATACTAATTTTTTTATTCCTATAGTGAGAAGAACTGCAAAGTCAGAAGACAAGGTAAATACAGGGGTGAGTGCAGAACTGAGGCTGAAGATCCATCTATCAGAGCTAGGCTTTGCCACAGTGAACTTCCACTCAGCCTTTCATGGGAATCCTATTTCGTGGGAATCCTGAATGGGTGATTAGTTCTGATCACTCCTTGTATGAATCATTCTTCCATATTTGGTAGATCAGTGTTTTCTGTAAAGATCAGACAGTCACTATTTTAAGCTTTGTGGACTACGTTGTTGTTGCCACAATTGCTCTGTTCTGCAGTTGGTGCATGGAAGCAGCTAGAGACAATGCATAAATAACACTTTATTTTAAAAAACTGTCCACAGATTGGATTTGGCATGTAGGTTGTAGTTTGCTGACTTTTGGTCTATGCTGTGGTTTGAATGTGGTCTCTTTGGCCCCACCAAAGTGCATGTTGAAATTTGGTTTTCAATGTGGTGGTGTTAAGAGGCAGGATTTAATGAGCAGCTTTTGAGTGATGAAGGCTCCGAGCTTTCTGGAGACTGGATTAGTTCTAGAGAACTAACATAACACTCCTAGAGAGTAGGGTGTTATAAAGCCAGAAGGCCTCCCAGTTTGTTTCTTCGAACATGTCTGCTCTTCTTCAAACTTGTCTGTCATGTTGTAATACAGCACGAAAGCCCTTACCAGAAGCCAGGACCATGCTCTTGAACTTCCCTGCCTGCAGAACCATTAGCTAAATAAATTTCTCTATAAACCTCTTTTATTTATAAACTACACAAATATTCAGTGGATTCCAAAAGTAAACATTTATTGCTTATGCTCAAAGCTCTGCAGAGAAACTACAGTTTGGCTCCTCTGTGTTGGCCACACTAAATGGCTCTGCTTCAGGCTATGGGTTGGCTGGTCTCGACCCCAGGCAGCACACTGAGTTAGGTCTGCTACATGGGTGTTTTTTCTTGGGCCCAGGTTAAAGGAGAAGTTATTATCTGATAGACACTCTGCTTGTGGTAGTTCAAAAACTGGAAGATCCAAGAATGAGCTACAAGTTTTTATGTCTACTAGTGTTCCATTAGCCAAAATTCACATGGCCAAGCTGAACATGAATAACATGATAAAGGATACTCTATGATGTGAAAAGGAGGGGAATGAATATTTGGAGAAAAATAATCCAAATTATTACACTTGGTTGAATTACAAAATAAAACAATTTTTAAAATTGTCAATATTTTTGTTTCTTGTGCTTACAAACATTTTGTACAAATTAACTCATTTATTAAGTCGTGGAACATTTTTAAATAGACAGGAGGCTCTCCACTCTAAATATGTACATAGAAGAGAAGTGTTTAGATTATCATTTACATATTCTCCTCACCCCATTAATTCACTTGGGATATCCACCAGCTAGGAAACATCAGGAAGAAAACTGACTGGATGAGGTCAATCACTGCCCACAGAAATTATGACAACTGCCAATCAAATTCTCAGCATGGAAATCTGCAGAAGCACTGCAAGGAAATTTGTAGAATCTACTCCATTGCTGATTAGTTCAATTTCATGTACTTCTTGATGCATCGAGGTAAAATTTGGCCACATAAACCAAGGGGGAAGTCCAGATATAAAGCTGACTCCAAGAGTTGAGAATCATTTCTTGGAAACACTTTATATAAACAGGTGGTTCTCAAATTTGTCAGGATATTAGTGTCACCAAAGCAAATAATAATAAATCCCACTTGAAGATTCTGGCAAAATAGTTGCAGTGGTAGCATACTTTTTCCAAATATTCCATAAAACCAGCTAGAATAATTCAACAGCAAACCCAGACACCCTTGGCCTGTATTTATAATAAAGCTAGGTGACAAGAATTTTGGGTTATTTGTTGCTGCAAAACAAATCATCACCAAATTTAGTGGCTTAAGATAACATTTTATTATCACTCCTAATATCTGTCGGATAGAAAATTTTATAAATGGCTTAAGCGGATGGTTCTAGCTCCAGGCTTCTCCTAATGCTACAGTCAGACTGTGGCTGGAACTGGAACAATAGGTGCTGAAGCAGCTCAGGATTGGCCAGGTAACTTCCCTCTTCATGTGTTATCAGGATCTCTCCTTATGGAATCTCCAGATCATGTCTCATGGGCTTCCTCAAAACATAATATCCTCTGGAAAGACAGCATGCCTATATTATGGCTGAAGATTTCAAGAGTATTTCATCAAGAAAGGCAAAAGCTTTGTACCTCAGATCCAGCCCCAGCAGTCACCAGTGGCATTTCTGTCATACTCTACAGATTCAGTCCAAAACGCCAGTTAAGTTTCAGGGAGAGAAGATACAAATTCCATCTGTCGAGGGCATGATGTCAAAACCACATTGTAAAGCAACTGTGTGGAATGAAAGATATGGCTGCAGCCATCTTTAAAAAAGTATTGTCCTCTACACAGCACATCTTCATAAACATATAGGTGACTGGAGGACATTACCTATAGCCCCAAGTCCCGCTTGGAATTGGCATGCTGTGGGAGGAAACAGCAGCAGCAGGCAGCTTCTGATGGACTTGGGAACAGAAAAATCGCAGAATAGCTGATAGGTATTCACTGGAAGCACTGCAGGTGAATTTCAGAAGAGCAGCTGCAATTTTGCCTTTTCCACTAGGGAGGTTATGTAACAGTTAGGCTGGAGAGGTCTAGCCCTTATGTACACTCAAGACAATCCTTCCAGCGGTTTCTTATAAAACAGTGTTCACAATGGGGAAAAACTGCTGGAAAATGAATCTTAATAAGTAGGATGGGGCATTGGACATGAAGAAAAAGTTGCTCATAAAATTTCAGAGGAGAATAGACTCAGGATAACTCAGGAAGTGACTTGTCTTAATTTGGTACTACACAAACACAATAGGACATTCATGATCAAGGACACAAACTACGGATAAACCTGCTAGATTCAAAAACTTAGCAGTTGGGTCATAACCCTGGTTTTACACAGCCTGGATGAGAGTCTAAAAGCAGACAAAGGCCAAATAGATACAGGCTGAAAACCAGGATCTTTCAATCAACCAGAGACTCATAAGAAATAATTTGAAAGGCAGAGAGTGAACACCTCATGTTGTTACTTTTAACTCTCAGTTTTATGATAAGATATAACCAGCTGAATAAAGCATGGCTGAAAATAACCCTCATAATTTTCGCCAGTTGAACTTCCATTCATTTACTTATGCATTCATTCCTTAATTCACTCATCAAGTATTTATTGAGCCCCTACTGTGTACTGGGAACTGGCACAATAACTGGGAGTATACTTGACTTGCTTCTTTGCTCTTCTGTTGCCTGCTTATTTTATTCCCAACTGAATCTCATTTGGATCCTAACTCAGTTCAACTCAGTTTCTTTTATCTTCATGTGGTCTCAAAGCTTGTATTTGGTTTCCCTGAGTTTGACTCCCTGTTCTCCCTAATGTGCTCTGTGTGGACTAACCTCTTCATCTTTTTATTCTGTATTGTAGAAGATCTGTCCACCTTAGACTTGAACTCTTGGTCTCTGGAAAAGTTAGTATTGTTCTTTTTCCAACAGGGGTAGGAAGAAGTTTTGGGTAGATTGCATGGAGAGGAAATTTTGACACACGGTGATTAAGGCTTTACTAATGTGTTGGGCACAAATGTGCAATATTAGAGCCAGAAAAGAAATGTAAGATGATATGTGTCTTATATTTTAATACAGATATATAATTTTGAGAGTATATAGAGGTGCATAGTTTCTGTTTACCTTACCATGTGTTAATATTATACATATCAAGAAAGACTGTGTTAAATCATAGTTTGAAGATAACTGACTTTTGATTTTTATAAGCACTTGAACTATTGATATTTCGGGATTTTTTTTTTTTTAAAGAGAGAAGCCACCATATGCTATTGTTATCAGATGTGGGATGTGCCATAAATGGCAATTAATTCTGAATATTAATGAGCTTAATTAATATTCTTGCCTAAAAGTAACATATATTATACAGAAGTACGTCCAAAGATTATCAGCAAAATAGGACATATATACATCTTATTCACAAAAGTAATTTTAATATGTTTTAAAACATGAGATACGTACCTGTTTCTGTGTCATACTACACTTGAAACATTGATTTTGGTATTAATAATTCAAATGAATATGTCAGCAGTCAAGAGCCATCATGAAAAAAATCTCGTCTGTCCAAGAACAACTTGTTTTGAATGGAACTTAGTGCAATTCTCCTGACATTACTGAGTTAATCATAATGAATTGACTCATCGTAGAACCATTTAACACTGCCCTTTAAAAATTTGAAGAATGAAAATATAGTTTAAGTAATTGATGCTAAATTGTTCTTTCTGCCAACATTTAGTTGGAGGGTTTAATTACTTTTTAAGGCAGTGTCTTGTCTATGCTACCTAAACAGTAACATTGGTATAGACAGTGCTTGTCTCCTTATGAGAAATGGCAATTAATCACCCAGTCAGCTCATCGCATGCACCATCTGTTTTTCAAATGCAGACACGGAAGAAGGGGAGGTGAGCGATACAGCAGCCCTGCTTTACAGGATTTCAAATGGGGATTCTTTTTGTTAAAACATTGATCTTATTCATCTTGAGTCTGGTTGAAAAACAGTGTCACTGTATAGGATTTGACAGAACACAATAGATTTGAATCTGTGCTGAAATTGTAAAACTGGTCACAGGCACAATATTTGATCAATGCAAAAAAGTTAGTATTTTCTTTGGTAAGAGGAAGGGGAGTTGCGCTTCGAACAGCACTTGGATGGTACTTTGTAAAGCCCTTAGGCGTAAGGCATCTATTTGGTCCTCACAGCAACACATCAAGGTAATTTGTCCAAGGCTATGGAAAGAACTAGAATCCAGAGCTGCTGAACTCAACCCAAATCA